CTTGTAGCTAGCTTAGTAGTTTTCTAATATCCTTTGTACAAGGCCTATAGGTGTTAATGGAAATTCCTAGGTTCTAAGTCCCCACGCACTTCTATATGCCTCTAAGTGGATTCCTACTGCATTTAGACCTATTGTCTTGTCTGTGCTGTTATATTATATTAGAAAACTTACTTTTACTAGTAACAGCCTTATTATAATATTACACTAATTATTTGTTTAACTATATGTAAGCTCTAAAATGTGTTTAATTTAGTTTAAGTTTGTTAGATTAAAGCACTGTTTCTAGGCTTCCTAAGATGAATGATGGGTTTTAGATATAATGTATAGGATGATGATTGATTGTATTGATTGATCAATGTTTCTTTTTCTTTTTTGTCTGCTCTGCTCGTGTTGCTCGGCTTTGTTTTTCCGGTCCGAGTCCCTCGCGCACTAGCCCTATGCGCGACTAGCTGCAACATGCTGCAATTTTTTGCAAAATGCTGTTCGAGCTTATTGCTCGTACTATGTAGCAGCTTTCGTCCAGCGTTCCTCCTGTCTTGACAGTAGGTGCGCATATCTAACAAAGTTATAATACTTACACACTATTATATTAAACTATTTAGTTTATAGATAGAATTCTAAAGACTTTTTATTAACTAAGGGCTTTAAGTTTAGAACTTTCTATCCTCTATAATTAAAATTGCTTTTAAAAAAGTTGTAAAAAGTAGGCTAAAGTAGAAACTTAGAGACTACTAATAACTTATTAAAATTAAAGGCAACTACTAATGTCTAACTAACTACTTCTTACTTCTAGAATTAAAATACGCTTTAGCTAAAGTAAGCTTTTTAGAGTTAATTAATAACCTATGTTAACAGCTAAACCTACTTCTGCAGCACTTAAAGCTATACTTCTACTTAATTTAAAGTTAACCTTTAGTAGTATATTTATTAATAATTAGATTATTTAATTATAAGTATAGCTTAAGTAGCTAATTTAGCTAAAAACTACTAGTTAACTTTTACTAACTACTAAATTACTTCTAATAACACCTTATACTACTTTTACTACTTTAAGTGTAAGAGACCTTTTAGGCACTTTTTAGACTTAGTAAATTTACTTTACTAAACACATATTTAAAATTAAAATTTTTATAAATAGTAAAAAACTTATGTTTAAATAATAGTAAGCCTTTATTATAGATAGCCCTAGCATTAATTTAAATTACTATTAGAGTAAGTGCGCACATATAGCATTAATATAGAGACACACAGCTAGTATTGTAAAGGATTATCTAGAGCTAGAATACCTAGCTAAATTAGACTAGTTTTAGTTTAAAAGTGTAGAGAATATAATAAAGCTCTTATAAGCTTATTTTATTACTAGTTAAAAGAAAACTAAGGCATAATAAGTGTTCTAAACTTTTAGAGTAAATAAAAAGAAAGTGTTTTCTACATTTAAATCGCGCTTTATTAGTGCAGCTATTAAAAAAAAGTATTTTAGTTAGATTAGTCTTTTTACTTATAAAAGAAGCTTTTTTCTAGCCTATAAGTACTAAACTATAGTTTTAAATATACCTAAGTAAACTTTTTTAAAGCTATAGTAGCCTACCTTACAGTGTACAATCTAAAAAGAAGGACTTAAGAAAAACTTTATTATCTTATCTAAATTATTTTTAATTAATACATTACACTTGCTACTTTAATAATTAATAACTGCATATATAGTGTTTAGCTTAAAGAATACTGCTAGTAGTGTAAAGGAATACTTAGAGTAAGAACAACTAGCTAAATTAGACTAGTTTTAGTTTAAGAATGTAAAGAATATAACAGTAATACTTTATACTATAACTACTACTAATAAGAACTATTAGTCTATAGAGGGGGGGTAGTGTAATAATTCTTATAAATTGTTCTATCTTAGGCGTCCTAGAACCTCTAGAAGGCCCCTGCATTAGCTCTAACCCTAACCTAGCCCTAATTCCTGCTGTTACTTTTATTCCCTTATGTATTTAGTTGCACCTTGACCTTGTAGCTAGCTTAGTAGTTTCCTAATATCCTTTATACAAGGCCTATAGGTGTTAATAGAAATTCCTAGGTTCTAAGTCCCCACACACTCCCATATGCTTCTGAGTGGATTCCCACCGCATTCGGACCCATTGTCTTGGCTGTGCCGTTACACAAGTTACTACTACATGTTATAAATAGTAATTTATTAGAGACTTTAAACATAAAGAAGTTATTCTATTAAATAACTTTAAAAATAAGTAGGCGTTATAATACCTTACCTCGACTTGTCCTCTGACGGTAACGGAGGGTCCTGGGGAAGAGATAGGTGTGAGAGGTAGGGACGGAGTAGAGAGAGTCACGTGATACTTCTCTGACGTATGACGGTGCAAGGAGGGTGTACAGTCCTCCGTACAATCCAGCCGGAAGTACGGTGAGGGGGGAGGTTAGTAAAGAATGAATGAGGTGGAGAAGGTAAGATGTAGCTTTAGTCTCTCTGCAAATAGAAAACAGTCTTCTGCACGCTTTGTGTTAGGAAGGATATTAGATATATTGCTGTACCTAAGGCTGTGCCTTGAAGATAAGAATAACCACAACCTCTTAAACAGTGGAGGAAGGGTGAGACTATATACCCGCCTGCGATCGCACTGATCGCAGGTTTTGAAAGTGATCGCAGAATATTTCTTGCGATCACACTACACCTGATATGGATCACTACGTGATCACCGTGGGCCGTACCCCCAACCAATGGTCGTAACAGTAAGTTATTATAAACAAAAAATAACAGAGCTATAGTAACTGTAATAGGGTAGGCGCCCTGCCTGCAAAATAGATACTATATGACTTTCTCCACTGCACTAAAAGTTTCGCACGAGAATACTTAAGCTAATTATTTCTCGCATAGTATAATATATATAGATAATGCTAGGGCTGTCACTAGCACTAGCAGTTGCCTCTAGTCCAGCCTAAACCTCTATAAGCGAGAGAAAGCCACGTGGTTGACCGTGCCTACCTTGTTACAGTAACTAAGTAGGTGTTACTAAAAGAATATAAACTTTAAAAAAACTAGTATAACAGAAACATAATAATAAATAAAGCAGCTTACATTATAAGTTATGTAACAACAGTTGTAGCTAAAATAATAAACGTAAGCATAGTAGAATGCTAAGAATATAACTACCTAGTGTTGTGTCTTCTTATGTCTTTCTATTCTTTCTTACCTGTAACGATTCGCTTGAATCGTTCTATTTAAAGTTACCGAGCGAACCTTATATCTGAAGGTTCCTCGTATCTGCTCCGACCCGGCCCTGCCCCCTGCTATACCCCTATTCCCCCAAGTATTTAGTCGCACCTCTCCCCTTAGCTAGCTTAGTAGTTTTCTGATATCCTTTTGTACAAGGTGTCGCGTACAGCTATCCGTCTACATATATCCTTCTGCTGTGCTAGCTGGGAGGTTAACCTTTTGGCAAAACGCAACACAAGGCCTATAGGTGTTAATGACATTTCCAGGTTACTGAGTCCCCACGCACTCCCATATGCCTCTGAGTGGATTCATACCGCATTCGGACCCATTGTCTTGCCTGTGCCGTTACATTACCTGCCTATTGCTTGGCAGTGTTAGAGACTAAGGAAGCTAGTTAAGAAACTATTCTAAGAAGAATAGTAACAGTAGGTGGATAATATATTGTTCTATATTAAGCTAGGTAGCATGCAAGAAAGCTTACGTAATAGCTTTAATAAATAATTAACGTACATTATAGGCAAGTTGCTTACACACCTAAGTTACTTATTTTTACTAAGACTCTACTAAACTACTCTTCTTACACTAATGCATTTCTAATAACACTACTTAGACGCGCTAAATAGACATTAGATATAGCTTATACTCTAGGCTTTTAAATAAGACGTAACACTTTTAAAATAACATGCTGTAGCTATGTATAAAGTCTTTTAAAAAATAATAAATAACTAACACACTAGATAACTTTTATAAGCTAATTTTATAGCTATCTTATAAAGGCTAGGTAATAATAAAGAGCAGGTAATTATTAAGCCAATACTTAAGCTATATGCGTAAGGATTTTCCCCTTAGCTAGCAGCTATAGCTAATATAGCTAATTCTTTACACGCTAAGCATAATCTAGGCTATGTTAGCATAAACTAGCTTAGTATATTTATAAAGTGTTATCTAAAGCTTAACATAAAGTTTAAGCATAAGTATAACTATAAAAGAGCTTTTTATAAGGATCCTAGAGTAATTTAGAGCTAGTTTAATCTTATAGAGAATATTAAAGCTAAGTATAGCATTTAGAATAATAATATATATAACTTTAATAAGATAGGCTTTATAATAACCTAAATATCTACTAACTATACTTATGCTTAAAACTTTACTTTAAGCTTAAAATAACACTTTATAAACATGCTAAGCTAGTTTATACTAATATAGCCTAGATTATACTTAACGTGTAAAAAATTAGCTATATTAGCTATAGCTACTAGCTAAGAGAAAAATCCTTACACATATAGCTTAAGTATAGGCTTAATAATTACCTGCTTCTTATTATTACCTAGGCTTTATAAGTTAGATATAAAATTAGCTTATAAAAGTTATCTAGTGTGTAAGTTATTTATTATTTTTTAAGAGACTTTATGCATAGCTATAGTATATTATTTTAAGAGTGTTGCATTTTGTTTAAAAGCCTAGAGTGTAAGCTATATCTAATGTCTATTTAGCGCGTCTACGTAGTGTTGTTAGGAATGCATTAGTATAAAAAAAGTAGTTTAGTAGGGTCTTAGCAAAAGAAAGCAACTTAGGTGTGTAAGTAACTTGCCTGTGACGTACGTTATATAGTAAATAAAACAATTAAAAGTATCTAGTAATATTTAAAGATAACTATAGAAAGACAATCTAGCTAGAATATCTATAGTTTTTATATATCTCTTTGTTCTTTAGCTTAGTCGCTGCTAAGCTTTTAGTTGTCGCCTTAGCACTAGCTAAGGCTGTGTCTGCTCTTTCAGCTGCAGGAGGACTTGCTCTTGTTACGAATGGCACTCATACCTCTTCTAACTTGGGACATACTTGTGGAATAGGGAATTACTCTCGTCGAAACTCGGCCTTCTACATCTGTACACAGTCGAGCAAGAGTCTTTGATTCCCCCAAGGTATTTTCCCTAGGTTCAATCGGCACTCGGCTTTTGTATTGCATTAGTGGCTTTGGTAGTCATTATCTCCGCGGGCCTATTGTCGGAACAGACAGGGAAGGTAGGAAAGCGTGAGGTTGTATTGACTACCCACGAGAGACTATATACCATGGGAGCTCGGGCGCTCGGGGGTAGGAGAAACCTTACAGTCGAACGCTTGCTAAGCCTCGATCAGTGAGTGCAGGGCTCGTACATCACATACCCGACACCTATCATATGAGGATAACAGAAGAGCTTACCCAAGGATGATGTTACCCTCTTCTGGAGATCCCCGTTCCCAAGCATCCAACCAAACTTTCCCGACTCCTCTGCGATACGCTATACTTCCTTTTCGTTCAATCCAAAGAACATCGATCCATTTGAAAGTGAGTCCGTCCTTCACTCCAGGGTAGGTAAGGTTGTTTGCATCCCAGTGACTCTTGCTGTTGAAATGAATGCTCCGTACAAACTCGCTCCATCGAGGTATAGTGGCTTCGCATACGGCCATCAGACAGCACTCCCGGCCGGTATTTCCAAGATGTTCTCGCTCCACACCATCATCATGTGGACGAAGGTTGCCAACACCCGTTCCTTCATTATCTATGAGTCCCACTGTTCCCCAATTCGGATCAGGAAGACCCGCAAAGCGGAATGTAGCCGTTTGGACCCGTGAATAGAGGAATGGCTCCCACATATATGACGATAATGGCTGAACTGAAGTGCGGGTATCGAGTGGAACTGGGTGAGGGTTGCGCCCGCCGCTAAAACCCGCAATCTGGTCCATGCCAACTTCTTCCAATGTGTATTTTTCTGGTTGTTGGGAAGATTTCCAACCGGGGAGCTCGCCAACCTTGTCATCTTCGGCGTTCTGCCAGATGTGGTAATCATTTTTGATCTCTTCCATGCGACCAGTAACAGTGCTTTTCTTTCTCCAAATGTTGAGTGGTCGACGAAAGATGCGTAGTTCTTCACTCGTAAATGTAGGTGGCCTTCTTTCAGTGAGTACGAGATCTCCGTTGCACGGTTGGCGCAGAGAGAAACCAGCGCTTACCAGCAATCATCGATGGCGTCTGAAAAACTGATGCCTGAGTCTCCGTACCCTTGGTCCTCCCAGGCTATCCACGACCACGAAGGAAACATTTCTCTACGCTTGTTGTGCGGAACAACAAACGTCCATAAGAGCGACAAATCCAATAGGAATTCGGGCAAGGCGTAGAAAAATCCTCCAGGAAAAGAAGGAGCAAAAGTATGAATGATCGCACTAAAGGCTTTCAGTGCATCACCGGCATATGTTAGCTGACGCTTCGAGAATTGCGCACAAAGCCTGAAATAATGCGCCGCATCCGGCCAGAGCTTCTGAGTGATGCGCCACTGAGGCCCACCAAATTTTCGGTTGTGGCTTGTCAAATCTCGAGCAAGAATATGAGGAGAAGACAAGAGCTCAGACCAGATACCTCCGCCACACTCCCAGTAAACTGTGTCGTTATTGAAGACGAGGCATCTCCTTGAGACTACCCGCTCTTGGAAGGTCCTTCGAAAATTCAGCATGCTGTCAAGCCTTCGACTCATGAATTTGTGGACGAGGTTGATGGGATCACTGACCACGCTCTCTTGTGCCAGCTGCGCTTCTGTTCTATCTCATAAGCCCCGCGAAAGTGGACTTCTTGTGTCAAGGCATCTTCATCACCCCAGAACTCGTATCTTTCTATTGCCAGGAAGCAAAGGTCGTCAAACTCAACCAGCTCCTGGCCAATGCACCTTGGCTTTGACCCTCCCTGTACACCAGATATCCCCGTCCCGGAATCCCCTTCAGTCGCGATTATTGTGAAGTAAGACCGAGCATAGATTGATGCCATCTGTGCAATGTTGCCTTCGATAGAGGCTTCATCATCTTGCACAATGCATAGTCGATCCACCCACAGGTACCGAATGTCCAGGCTTCTGATTAAAATAATTGCATCTTGAATAGTCGCAGGAATTCGGTCCCAAGCATTTAAGAGTGAGCCCTGCTGAAGAAGTATCCTAAGATTCGCGCGAGTTGTTTGAAAAATATTCAGTTGCTGACCCCAGACGTAGGACAACGCGACGTAAATCTGGAACTGGTTCGTGTGACCTGGTACCAAGCAATTCCTCTGCACGTCGATGAACATGACTTCTGCGGGCGCTTCACTGTTTCCTAGCTGGGACTCAGTACATGTGGACTGGTGAGTGAAGCCGCAGTCTCGGATCCAATGGTTGATGCGTTCAATGCTTATCCACCCAGGATCTGCCCTTATGAAATGGCGACCACAGTCTTCGACAACTTCTGACGGGATGAGGACCATTTTGTACGCCGTGGTCTATGGGAAAGACTTGAATCAGCAGAATTCCCTTTCAGTATCACAGTCTATCTGAAATACAAGTTCTATCCCCCAACTCTAGTACGGGGTGGCTAAATAAATTTGACTCACTTCTAGCCGCGTAGGATCAGCGGTTTCGTCCCTCAACCGAATAATGAGGCACCCGCTATCACTAGAGGCCTCATTATCACCACTTGAAATAATCACGGACGCATCGTAGTAGGCCTGAGTGCTAAACAAACGAACAAGGGATTGACAAGAAACACAATCCTTAGCATTCTCAATGTCGCGCCATCTTCCTATACGGTGTCCTCTTGGATTCTCTTCGATCCGAAATTTCGGCCAATTTCGGACGATACATGCAATCTTGTGGCAATTAAAGCACGCTTGGCTTGCGGGGTGGGTCGTGTCAGGGTCCTGGTATGTTCTCTTATCATCCATTCGCAAAATGTTTTGCGTTACTGTAGGGTAATTGATCCGCTTTCTCCAGTCGACGGCATATATCTCTTATTGAAGGGATATTTTGTGGAGGGCAGTGCTAGGCAGCAAACCTGGAAAAACGCGACGTCGACGCGATCACAGCCTCAGAGACAAGGTGGACGCAGCCTGAGGGTTCGTTCCTAGAGGGCCAGGCCGGAGAGTGGCTCGCGCTACCCGCTACCCCGCACTAGGGTCCCCTGGACGTGGTCTTTCTGCACGTGATCGTAATGGTGTCCTCGCGAAATGGTATTTAGAAGCCTTCCGTAAATTGATTTCGAAGTTATTGCTATGATTCAATAGTCTCGCTCCAGATCCGCATGTTTGCTGACATATCTCTATATGGGTAGTGGTACTGTCTCGGTGTGGGAGGTGCTCACGCTCCACAGTATCTTTTGCGATAATAAGAAACACATCGCGACGTACTCAAGATGGATGGTATATCTCGACTACATACGCGAAGTATTGTAAGACATGAGTATGTTACATAAGTTTTACATTTAACAACTTATTAATAAAATCTTGAATAAATTTATAAGAGTTATTAATACTCTTAAAAAAACCTCTTTACCTATAGAGTTAAAGCTAGAGCAGAATAGAGGAATAGTAAATATAGAGGATAAAAATAAAGTTTAATAAAAAATAAGTTTTTTATTTTTATAGCTAACGTACACTATAGGCAAGTTGCTTACTGTCAGATTGAAGCACTGTTTCTAGGCTTCCTGAGATGAATGATGGGTTTGGATATGATGTATAGGATGATGATTGATTGTATTGATTTATCGATCCTTTTTCTGCTCTACTCGTGTTGCTCGGCTTTTGTTTTTCTGATCCGAGTCCCTCGCGCACTAGCCCTATGCGCGACCAGCTTGCAACATGCTGCAATTTGCAGCAACATACTGTTCAAGCTTATTGCTCGTACTATGTAGCAGCTTTCGTCCAGCGTTCCTCCTGTCTTGACAGTAGGTGCGCATATCTAACACTTACACACCTAAGTTGCTTACTTTTGCTAAGACTCTACTAAACTACTTTTCCTATACTAATGCGTTCTTAACAACACTACTTAAACACGCTAAAAAAAATTAGATATAGCTTACACTTTAAGCTTTTAAATAAAACATAACACTTTTAAAGTAACATACTACAGCTAACATACTTTACAGGTAAGTTACTTACACACTTAAGTTACTTACTTTTACTAAAACCCTACTAAACTACTTTTTTTATACTAATAGATTTCTAATAACACTACTTAAATATGCTAAAAAAAATATTAAATATAGCTTACAATTTAAGCTTTTAAATAAAATATAACACTTTTAAAGTAACATACTATAGCTATATATAAAGTTTTTTAAAAAATAATAAATAACTAATATACTAAATAACTTTTATAAGTTAGTTCTATACCTAACTTATAAAAGCTAGATAATAATAAAAAGTAGGTAATTATTAAGCATATATTTAGGCTACATATATAAGAGTTTTCTTTTTAGCTAGCAACTATAGCTAATATAGCTAATTCTTTACATGCTAAGAGTAATCTAGGCTATATTAGCATAAACTAGCCTAGTGTTAGAAGGACTATCTATTCTTATACACTTAGCATAGTCTGTGACTATAGCTATAAGAGTAGAGAGTATAAGCTAGTGTATAAAAGATTAGTTATAATAGATCTAATTAGTATAAGTTATTAAAAGACTTAATTATATACTAGTTAGTTATATAGCTAGTTAGTTATATAGCTAGTTAGATAACTAGTTAGTTATATAACTAGTTATGTAACCTTAGCTTAGAAGGCAAGCCTTCTAGAGTTAGGTTAAAGGTCTTCTATATAATATTAATGTAAGAAGAAATTGCGTGCAAATACTATCTAAATGCTATACAGATACTTAGAATGTTTATAAAGTGTTATTTAAAGCTTAAAGTAAAGTTTAACTATAACTATAACTATAAAAATGCTTTTTATAAAAATTTTAAAGTAATTTAAAGCTAAGTATAGTATCTAAAATAATAACACATGTAACTTTAATAAAATAAGCTTTATAATAAGCTAAATATTTACTAACTATAATTATACTTAAAACTTTACTTTAAGTTTTAAATAACACTTTATAAATAACGTACTTCACAGGCAAGTTACTTACACACCTAAGTTACTTACTTTTGCTAAGACCCTACTAAACTACTTTTCTTACACTAATGCATTCCCTACAACACTACTTAGACGCGCTAAAAGAATGTTAGATATAGCTTACACTCTAAGCTTTTAAATAAAACATAAAATTCTTAAAGAAACATGCTGCAGCTATATATAAAGTCTTATAAAAGATAATAAATAACTATAGCACTAGATAACCTTTACAAGCTAATTCTATAGCTAAATTATAAAAGCTAGGTAATAAAAAGAAGCAGGTAATTATTAAGACTATACTTAAGCTATATGCGTAAGGAATTTCCTCTTAGATAGCATTTATAGCTAATATAGCTAATTCTTTATGTGCTAAGCGTAATCTAGGCTATATTTATATAAACTAGCTTAGTATTTTTATAAAGTGTTATTTAGAGCTTAAAGTAATATTTAAGTATAAGTAACATACCTAACAGGTTAGCCGGCCACACAGATTAGCCGGCCACTTTTGCTAAGCCCCTACTAAAACCACTCTATTCTCTCGCAAAACAGCCCACTTTAGCCCTGTATAAAGTAATATAACATAAGATATTATTTAAAGTCTACTTCTACTACTTACTTACATGTACGCAAGTTATGCCTAGTTTAATTGCACTACTTGCATTGCCTTTAACTTAGCTTACCTTTTTTAGCGCGCACCTACGTCTTTAGCTTCTTCCTATTACTACGCGCTCTAAACTCCTTTAAAGCAGTTAGACAAGCTCTATCCTTAACTATTAAAGTCCTTTCTGCCTAAATTTACTTCCTTTTATATAATTTATGTTATGTAGTAGCCTTATTTGCTACTTAAAGCTCTGTAATTTTATAGCCTACTTTATTATATTAATGCCCTAGATAACTATTATCTACTTTTTATTACTTTACTATATTACCTTTAGCTGTTTTTGTCTTTTTAAAGCTATAATAACTACTCTAGTTAATATTTAGCCTATTATAAAGCTTAACTTATTAAAGTTATACTTATTTTTATTCTAGATACTATACTTAGCTTTTATATTAGCTACTAGGTAAAACTAGCCTTAAATAACCTTTAGATCTTTATAAAGCGCTCTTTTATAATTATACTTATAATTAAACTTTATTATAAACTTAGGGCAGTGCTTAACCTACATACTAGTCTAGTTTAAGCTAACCTAGCCTAGATTACGCTTTATAGGCAAGGAATTAGCTATATTAGCTATAGCTGTAAGCCTAGAGAAAAATCTGTGTGTAATAAGCTTAAGTATATACTTAACAACTACTTTTTTTTTAAGCTTAGTTAGATTCCTTAATTTAAGCTAGCATTCTACTTGTAAAGGCTGTCTAGTGTGTTAATTACTTAGTGTTATATAAAAGACATTATAGATAGCTGCAGCGTGTTGTAAGGAAAGTTTTAAGTCTTATTTAAAAGCCTAAAGAGTAAGCTGTATCTAACGTTCTTTAGAAGATTTAATCTAGTGTTGTTGTTAAGGCATTATGTAGATAGGTAGAGTTTAGTAGGGGCTTAGCAAAAGTGGCCGGCTAACCTGTGTAGCCAGCCAACCTGTTAGGTACGTTACAACTATAAAAAAGCTTTTTATAAAAGTCCTAAAGTAATTTAAGGCAGGTTTAGCCTTATAAAGAATATTAAAGCTAAGTATAGCATCTAGAATAAGAACATGTATAACTTTAGTAAGACAGGCTGTATAATTAGCTAAATATCTTTTAACTATACTTGCGCTTAAAACTTTACTTTAAGCTTTAAATAACACTTTATAAACATACTAGGCTAGTTTATGTAAATATAGCCTAGATTACACTTAGCGCATAAAGAATTAGCTATATTAGCTATAAATGCTATCTAAGAGGAAATTCCTTACGCATATAGCTTAAGTATAGTCTTAATAATTACCTGCTTTTTTTTATTACTTAGCCTTTATAATTTAGCTGTAGAATTAGCTTGTAAAGGTTATCTAGCGCTATAGTTATTTATTATTTTTTATAAAACTTTGCACATAGCTGTAGCATATTTCTTTAAAAGTTTTATGTCTTGTTTAAAAGCTTAGAGTGTAAGCTGTATCTAATGTTCTTTTAGCACGTCTAAGTAGTGTTATAGGGAATGCATTAGTGTAGAAAGAGTAGTTTAGTAAGGTCTTAGTAAAAGTAAGTAACTTAGGTGTGTAAGCAACTTGCCTATAAAGTACGTTATACTAAGCTAGTTTATACTAACATAGCTTAGATTACACTTAGTGTGTAAAAGACTAGCTGTATTAGCTATAGCTACTAGTTAAAAGAAATTTTATATATATATATATAGCTTAAGTATATGCTTAATAATTACCTACTTTTTCTTATTACTTAGCTTTTATAAGTTAGCTATATAATTAGCTTATAAAAGTTATTTAATATATTAGTTATTTTTTTTAAAAAACTTTATATATAGCTATAGTTAGTATATTACTTTAAAAGTGTTCTATTTTAAGTAAAAGTTTAAAGTGTAAGGTATATCTAATATTCTTTTAGCATGTTTAAGTAGTGTTATTAGAAATATATTAGTGTAAAAAAAGTAGTTTAGTAAGGTTTTAGTAAAAGTAAGTAACTTAGGTGTATAAGCAACTTCTTTGTAAAGTACGTTATAGTATATTACTTTAAAAGTGTTATATTTTATTTAAAAGCCTAAAGTGTAAGCTATATCTAACATTTTTAGCACATCTAAGTAGTGTTATTAGAAATGCATTAGGGTAAAAAAGTAGTTTAGTAAGGTCTTAGTAAAAGTAAGTAACTTTAGTGTGTAAGCAACTTGCCTGTGGTGTCTGTTATAGAAATAGAAATATTTAAATTTAGTTAGTAATTGTGTCACGGTTAACTTGAACATGCCTCGGACTCTCCCCGGAGAGCCCTCGGCCCGGCCTTGGGCACATATATATATATCCTCTCACGAACCCCTGAGTCTCCTCAAAGATTCGTCTATCAATACTATCCTGTGCCCCCTTCTGCGCTTCATGCTTCCTGCTTCACAGTGCTCTCACAAATTGCCTGAATAATTACGCTCCTAAATGGATTTATTCTACCCTTGCAGAGCTTGGATCGCTAGGTGGCTAATGACTTTTGGTAGGTGACTGTACACTTATTGGGTGGCAGTTTCGACCTGTAGTACTCTGCCGCATAAGGCGCGTTTGTGGTTGCCTTGTCAGCCTACCTGCAAGGATTGCGTCTCATTAGCCCCTACTCCTCCTTCTGTGCGCCACACTGTCAGCTCATCCAATTGAACCAACATGGCAGTGACCGGGTCAGGGCGGCTATTTTCCGGGGTGAGTGCACTGCGACGCCTCAAGGTCGCACAAAGAGGCGACTTCGAAGCTCCTCGCTCTCGCGCACTTCCTGTCTTTCACGGTCGCTGACAATTGACAACAACGATGCCTTCCAACGTCATCCTCATTGCCTCAGGCATTGCCACTACCTATGTCTTCTTGCGATGCTTACTGGCGTTCACCCAAGATGCGAAAGAGCCTCCGGCACTCGAAACTGCGATCCCATTTCTGAGCCCCATGATTGGAATGAGAAAAAAGGCGAAGTTCTACATTGACCTTCGGTGAGGTAACAATGACAATCAGGAATGTTCATGGCACTCATAGACTGTTAGCGACAAGTTCAGGTTACCTATCTACACCCTCCGTATTCCGTTCATGAGACTCTACATCATAAACTCCACCGAGCTTATTCCAGTTGCGCAAAAGCAAGTCCGCATACTGGACTTTGCTCCAATGGAATCTAAAGTGGCCATGAATGTTATGGGTTCCGGTCCTGAGGGCAAAAAAGTTCTACTTAGGAGTAAAGAAGGTGTTGGCGATTATGCGTACGCCATTCTGTTCGACAAAGCTATTCATGCTTCCGTGAGTCCAGGCCCCCAACTCGACGCTATGAATAGATCTTCTGTCGAGATTGTGGCAAGGTCTGTCGAAGAACTTGCGTCCCGTTCTCCGGCGCGATTGAAGCTCTTCGAGTGGGTGAAGAAAGAGATCACTTTTGCGACTACTGAGTCTGTCTATGGCCCTAAGAACCCATTCAGAAACCCGAAGGTTCAGGACGCCTATTGGTAAGCCAGCGCAGCACCTCGGGAGATGCATGCTGCTTATACAAAACAGGAGATTTGAACCTGGAATCATCATAATGTTACTGAACTTGTACCCTAATCTACTCGCGAGGGACAGTGTCCAAGCGCGCAAGGAGATCGTTGATGCCATTAACGACTATTTCGCCTCCCACGCGCACGAAGAGGGGTCCGCCTTTGTGCAGTCCCACTACCAGCACAAAATCGATCAAGGTGTCACAGGCAAAGATGTAGCGAGATTCGAGATTGGCGCTATCATTGGCATCCTCAGCAATACGATTCCAGCCTCATTCTGGGTACTGTATCACACATTCTCGGACCCTACGGTTTTGGAGGAGTGCAGGAAGGAGATTTTGGCATGCTGCAAAGTCGAGGGCAACACTTGCACTCTGGATATTGTGGAGGTGAAGGCTTCTTGTTCGATCCTACTCTCAATTCTGAAAGAGTCTTTGCGATTCCACGGAATTGGGACATCTGTTCGCGTCGTAACGCAGGACCATCTCCTTGATGGAAAATATCTGCTCAAGAAAGGTGGCATCGTCATGATCCCGGGACCGGTACAGCACAGCTCGACACTCGCTTATGGAGAAGACGTCGACGGATTCGAACATATGCGGTTTGTACGCTCACCAACACGGAAACGACCGAGTCCAATCGCATTCCGAGGCTTTGGAGGGGGTTCAACGCTCTGCCCTGGCCGACACTTCGCGACTACAGAAATCCTAACCTTTGTTGCCCTGATCATTGCTCGGTTCGACTTCAAGCCTGTCCGAAGCGAATGGGTATGCCCCAAGACGGACAAAGCCGGCATGGCAGGTACCATCGCACCACCGAATCTAGACGAGGATGTGGAGGTGGAAGTTACACCCACTGCAGGCGAAATGGCTGGAAAGATCTGGAACGTTGTGCTCTCTGCATCAGACAAGGGCGTGGAGCTCTCAGCAGAGGATAGCCAGTAGATTGGTATCCATTAAAGTCAAGGAAACTGTGAAAGCTGTTGCCGCACAATTGTAAAGTAATTTAAATTCAATATTCATGTGTCTGCCTTCCGGACTTCGCGTACTTCCCTCTGCGTTTGCCGCCAGCATCGATTGAGACATGGCGCTTCATACGATATCTGATGTGTATTTTTCTCTCACACCAGGGTTACCTCTCAGAAGGACAGTCTACCCCAGAAGATCTTTCGCACGGATGGGGCGTCAATGGAGATTCAGCCCCTGCCAATGCATGCTCCTGGCCCCAACGAATCGTACGATCTCTTGATCCAATAACAAACCAGATGTCAACTTCAGGATTCCAGTTCCATTCCGCCGTAGTCTTTGCATAGCTTGCATTATGGTGTTCTCAACTAGCCTAGTCATTCTCGCTAAGCTACAATGCTGTGCCGCAATATAAGACCAACAAGGCTTCGCTTCGGGACGACCAAAAATCCCCGGTCAGTGGACTTCAACGTTTTTGTCACCCCCCATTCTCATGCAAGATCTTATTTCTCGACGATACTGAGCCTCGCTCGATATCAAGAAAACTCACGAACTCATCTTGACCCAGTCAGCTCAATGGGGTCAAAGCCATAACCTGGGTATGAACAATATGGCAACAAGACCGACATAAAGGGACCGTACCGGCTTTAGCAGTGCCGCAGCTCAAGAAAATATCTGCCCACATTCGTAGAAACAAATCCTTCCTTTTCAGCTACCGAACCTTCGCCTGATTGCCATCACTCACAATGTCGCCTGGTCCTCAAAGGTCTGTTAACCTCGTTGCGGGCCAGAAGCACCCGAACAGCATCACTACGTTCGCAATTGTCATCGCCTTCGCCTGGCTGATAGGCAAGCTGGTGCTCGGCTTACAGTCACCCTGGGCCGATCGTAAGTAATACCGAGCTGTCGACAGACATATGTGCTAATACAAGCTAGGAGCAAGTACGATATTCCTGGTAAGCTCTCCAGCCATTAGGTACTGCAACAGTCACACTCGTTTGTCTCCCGGGGGAGTTCAACCTCCTGGGGCCAAATAGGATTCAACCCCCTGGCCGGGCTTTGAACATTCTGTTGCCTGCTCAAGTGAACATGGAGTTGGAACTCGAGGGAGGTGGCACAGTATACTTGATATGATATATCAAATGGGAACCTTGTCCAACTTTGTAGTTACTAGCTAGCAGTATGGATACTTCCACAATCATGTCGTGGCACCCTCTCGTCCTCAATGTTACTCCTTCGATGAACTTCACGTCGCGGGTATCTATCCCTAAGGTGCCTTCCGCCAACAGTTACTCAAACTCAGCAAGCAACGCGAAGTCCTCCTATTTGGTACAGTTGGTACTCATCTTCGTTGCTACCAACTATGTTCACGCTCGTCTCCATTTTCAAAAAGCACAAGTCCGGCAAAGCACAGTCAGCAATGAGGCCCCTCCAATGTATCCCCACATTTTTCTATCCATGGCGCATACGCTAGGTTTCATATTCAACGATCCCGATTTCTTGAAGAAAGCGTCGTAAGTACAAGAATTGTGTCGACACCAAGCGGTCTGCATACTCACGATGCTCACAGATTATAGGCAGGGAAGCTCACCTCCTCGAGGATCCGGGTGTTTGGAAAAGATCTCTATCTGTTTCAAGACCGAGAAACCGTCACAAAGCTTTGGAAAGCCCGCTCATTATCCGGCCCTATCAAATTCTACGTGCACGTGCTCAGACATCTCTTTGGTATGGACGAGCGTGACATTGCCACATACAAAGCGGACAACTCGGGTCCATTCCTCAAGCAGTTTCCAGGAAGTAGTGTTAAGCACAACAACCGGGTTGATCACCTGACCCATGAAGGGTTCAAAAGAGCTTTCAGTGATCCTGGCCTCGCTCCTATGACGCACCGATACATGAAAATACTAGACAAGAAATTGTGTGAGTCCTTAAAGGGTTCTGGTTGGAACGATATGCCTGACCTGCTCGAATTCTGAAGAATGGTCCATGCGTCTCTGATCAAAGTCAATCCGACCTTCCTTCGCGATCTGGGAATTTGATGGTTCGACACCTTTACTCGCCAGACTGGTTCCAAAGTTTCTAGTTCCAAAACCTTATGAAAGACACCAGAACCTTCACCGGCAGTTCACGCCTTGGTATGCTTATGCACGACAGCACTTTTCAGAGACTTGTATTTATGATGATGGCAATGGTGACCCGTACTGGGGATCGGAAGTTATTCGCTACCAGCAGCGAATGTACCTTGGAGCTGATGGATTCAACGATGACTCGCTTGCAGCGGCCGACCTCGCTCTTGTGTGGGAGTGAGGCTTCAGTGTTACGTTCCGACTTAGGCACTCTACTTACTAACCGGGAACATCAGCACTCTGGGTAACGCAACTCCAACGACAATGCTTTCCGTCTACCACGCATTCAAGGACCCATGTCTCCTCCATCGCGTGCGCTACAACCTCCAGTCCACCTTCAAAGGCAGCCGAGCACTGAGATAGATCCCTGCATACTCATTCAGGATCCACTCTTGTCATCAGTACAAGCAGAAACTCCGCGGTTGTATGTTAACGTTTGCGCCATGTTGAGCTCACCCCACAGTGATATCGCTCTGGGTTGCTGATGGATGCCTAAGGGTGATGTCGGGTTAGTTCACTCCAGCATCACGCACAAGGACGGCAACTTCTGGAGCACCATGGAGTCCAAGTGGTGGCTGCGCCTTGCTGCAGCTGCAGGGATAACAGAACATGCCTCGCCGAAGAGAGGGGCGCGTCTGGGCAAGGAAATTGGGGATCCGTTCCCTTTTCCGGAGCCCTGTCATATTGTAGGCACTCCTGTGGCACAGCCAAAACAGTGAAATTCTCGCTTAGCGCGAAACAGGTGCTCGCAAGTGTTCTTCCCTCCCCACGTTTTACCCTGTACACATCGACTCGAGGGAACCTCGGTTGGGACAAGCCCATGGGCCGACAATCGTCGCCGGCGCCAGGCGTCGCCTTTCGAGGACTCAATGTATTTGGACAACACTCTAGCGACACCGTCCAACAGAGCGACACCTCCTACCTACTGGCCTTTCCGCGAAAACTTCTACAACTCCTTCAATGGCGAAGTACTCCGAGGTCTCACATCCTGCACGGTTTCAATGGTCTAGTACAACATGGAGAAATGGTTCTTGTTCTGGGGAGACCTGGAAGTGGATGCTCAACCCTACTAAAGACATTGGCTGGTGACATGCCTGGCTTACATGCCGACAAAGCGTCGAAGGTGCTCTACGATGGTGAGCTTTGGACTGAAAGGAGGCGATGGTCAACTGACCGTTCGACCTAGGATCGCCACTCACTCACAAGCAACTGCGAGGTCATGCTATCTATCTGGCAGAGCTCGACGTTCATTTTCCGGAACTAGCTTTGGGACAAACATTGGAGTTTGCACTGGAATTACAAAGATCCAACCATGATGCAAAGTCAAACCCAAACATGACAGCGCATGATATCGCTTCTAAATTCAAACTCGAAGCTGCGTACTACACAAAAGTCGGCAACGCAATGATACGAGGTCTAAGCGGCGGCGAGAAACGCCGCACCAGCATCGCAGAAGTGTTTATAAGCCAAAGCCAACTCCAGTGCTGGGATAACAGCACTCGCGGATTGGATAGCTCGACAGCCCTATCTTTGGTACGGATTCTGAGGAGATCGACGACCGAGACTCAAGCAACAGTTCTGATGAGCATTTACCAAGCATCAAATTCTATCTACGAGGTATGTCATGAACATTCGGGCCGTCATTATCAGAAGTATATCTGAAACTTTTTGCAGTGCTTTGACCGCGTCATGGTACTTTATGAAGGGTATCAGATCTATTACGGCCCTGTTGCAGATGCCGTTGCGTACTTTGTTGACATGGGCTTCGAAAAACCTCCTCGAGCAACATCAGCAGACTTTCTTACCTCTGTTACTAATCCAGCTGAGCGCCGCATCCGTGACGGATACCAAAACCGTGTCCCACGATCCGCGGAAGAGTTCAATGAGGCTTGGAGTCGCAGCGATATAGCGAAAGCTCTTCTTGATCAGATACAGATCACTGAGGAGACGATCCGGGATAGTAGAAAGCTGCATTCCTCTTTGAACTCTCGGTAAGTGTGTTCCATTGCTTACCCTGGTAATTTGAGCGGGTATAGACTAATTATTGGTGTGTGCAGTCGTACATATGATGTATCAACACGAACCCAAATCGCATTGTGCATACGACGCGGATTCCAAAGACTGCGAAATCACCCCGGACCCCAGCTTGGTAGTGTCATCGGCAATACTATCATTGCCATTGTAGTGGGAAGCGTCTATTATAACCTTTCTGATGATACTGCCGGCATGGATAAGCGCGCTGTCCTGCTATTCTTCTCACTAATGATCAATGCATATGCTCCAGCATTTGACGTAAGTTCTACCTCAGAGACATTCCCCGTACAAACTAATCCGGATATCAGGTACTTTTGATGTGGGCACAGCGCCCAATAGTTGAGAAGCACCACCGATACGCTTTCTACCAGCCCTTTACTGAGAGCATCGCCTCATACATTTGCGATCTGCCAAACAAGCTAGCGACTGCCGTCATGTTCAACGTAACACTGTATTTCATGACTAGTCTTCGAAGATCTGCTAGCGCCTTCTTCACGTATTTGTTAATCATGGTTGTGACCATCTTGACTATGTCAATGTACTTCCGCACTGTCGGATCGCTCTCTAGGACGCACGAGCAGTCGATGGTGCCTAGCTCAATGCTCATCCTTCTCTTCAGTGCGTATACCGGTTACATTATCCCTGCGAAGGATATGGTACCTTGGTTAGCGTGGTTTCGAAGGCTCAATCCGGTCGCGTATGCGTACGAAAGCCTGATAATCAACGAGGTCAGTGCGATGTTCATGGTTGGGCAAGTCGATCCTAACCATAGTAGTTTGGCAGCCGACACTTTCCCTGCTCCCAAATGATACCTTTGAGTGGATCGCGAGCGGATAACATGCAGCATCAGACATGCGCAGTCATCGGCGCACAGCCTGGCCAGATTGACATTGATGGCTCGGCTTACATTGAGAGAAAATACAGCTACGTTGGCTCGCACCTTTGGAGGTACGTCACATGGTGATTGCGAGGACCCACAGGCTGAACAAGATAGAAACTTCGGGATCCTACTGGTGATGTTCGTGATCCTTGGTGCTACCCACCTTGTGGCAACTGAGATGATACCTGCGCAACGTTCGCGTGGAGAGGTTCTCATCCACCGACGAAGAGTGAACCATCGAAGATTCAAAGGAGGTGATGAGGAGTCAGGAACCACTCAGACCGGCAGAGGAATGGTTCTATCGCACAACTTCGACGATGAGAAGTCGTGCGCGGGGTTACAAGAGAATGGTAACTACGTTCTGGCCCAATCTGAATTGATCTCTTCAGACGACGCAGCCGTTTTCCATTGGAGCAACCTCAGCTACTCCATACAGGTTGGCAAAAGAAGCCGGCAAATTCTGCATGACGTCGAGGGCTGGGTTCGACCTAGGAGCCTAACTGCGCTGATGGCAAGTCATGCATTCTCAACCCACCACATTCACTAACCAGATAACAGGGAGTGACAGGTGCGGGAAAGACGACCCTACTAGACGTTCTCGCACAGCGTGTCACTGTTGGACATATTAGTGGAGACGTCTATTTCGGAGACGAAGCACCTGATGTTTTTTTCCAGCGCAAAGTCGGATACGTCCAGCAAGATGACATACATCTACCCACCGCCACGGTTCGCGAGGCATTGGAGTTCAGCATTCGATTGCGCCGCCCTGACTACTCATCCGTAGATGGACCGCAGCAAGTCGATGACGTGCTTGATCTGCTAGAGATGACATCATACGCAGATGCAATTGTGGGTGTTCCAGGCGAAGGTACAGTCTCGGCGTCTTGACTATTTCAGCATGAAGCTGACATGCCAGGTCTCAACGTCGAACAGCGCAAAAGACTCTCCATCGCGGTGGAGATGGTAGCAAAACCAGAACTGCTACTCTTCCTCGGTAAGCAAGTTCAGCTCGTAGCTGATAGATACATGCTTAATACCTCGCTAGATGAACCAACATCAGGCCTCGACAGTCAAACGGCGTGGTCCATCATCATGTTGCTCCGCAAGCTAGCTAACAGTGGACAAGCGATACTGGTAACGATTCATCAGCCTTCTTCTCAACTCTTCGCGCTTTTCGACCGACTTCTCCTCCTTAACCCGGAAGGAAAAGTTGCTTACTTCGGAGAAGTCGGACAAGATGCAATGACGGTCATCAAGTACTTTGAGCGCAACAGTGCTGCCCATTGTGATGTCTCGCAGAATCCAGCCGAATGGATCTTGGATGTTTCGAGCAAAGACGTTACTCCAGATGGACGTGTCACGAATTGGCATGAATGTTGGGTCCAAAGCCAGGAGAGAGAATCGGTCATGGATCAGATTGCCAATCTCAAGAAACACCGAGCTTCAGCCCCAGATTCAAATTCCACGCCTCGTGACAGCTACTACGCTGCGTCTTTCACGACTCAGCTAAGACTTGTGACGCGACGAATGTTTCAGGACTATTGGCGAGACCGGGTTTATCTTTATTGCAAACTGACCTTATGTGTGGTCACCGTAAGCTCTCATCCTTGACCTTTATCTCTTTTTTCGGGCTAAGATAACGCAGACTTTGCTCAACGGGCTTTCATTCCTCAATGCAAGGCTCGACATCCAAGGGATTACCAACATCTTCTTCTCTGTCTTTCTATTCACTCAACTCTTCAGCACTATCGACCAACAAGTTATCCCGCGCCTCGTGGATGGCCGTTCAATATTCGAAGCTCGAGAGAAACGCTCAAAGACCTACTCATGGACAGTTTTCCTCACAGCCAACATCCTTGTCGAGCTATTCTGGCAAACTATCGCTTCTGTCCTCGTCTTCATCACCTGGTACTACCCCACCGGTGTATGGAGGAACGAAGACCCTAGTTTCCCCGGATCAGAAAGAAGTGGGCTTGCGTTTGGTATGATCTGGCTCTTCTGTCTCTGGATCTCGACATTTTCGCAAGTTGTAGCAGTCGGTATGACTCATGCCGAGACTGCTGTTCAAATTGCTACTCTATTCTTTTGGCTTTCACTAGTCTTCTGCGGGTAAGTGCTCCTTCGTCCTATGAGCATACTTAGCAGCTAACGTTTGATGCAGTGTTTTGGTTACACCGGGGAATCTACCGCAGTTCTGGCACTTCGTATACAGAGCGTCGCCATTAACATACTTCATCGATGGTACGGTCGTCGCAAGTCTAGCCAATACGAAGATTACCTGTTCCGACGTGGAGATTCTTCACATCAACCCACCTGTTGGGTTGACATGCAATACTTATATGGAAGGTTGGATCGGTATGGCTGGTGGGTACCTGAGGAATCCGTCAGCGACACAAAACTGCGAATACTGCCAACTGTCTGACACAAACGTCCTTCTCACTGAGTTCGGGGTCCACGTTCCTGATCGATGGCACAACTTCGCATATTTGACAGTTTACGTTGTTTTCAATATCCTGGCGACATTTGCGATATATTGGGTCGCCCGGGAAAGGAAAACGACAAAGTCGGATATCTCCAGGGCAAAGGGTCTTGAGTCAAATGAGAAGACGAAGTAAGGTAGGATGGATGCGACGTATGCATATCAACAAATTGTGGGTAGGGGCCACAGTCGGGCTTGCCGGCAGAAGCCGTCGCAAGTCTGACTCAGCCGCTCACATTCGATCTAATCAATTCTTGGTGATTCTTCTTTAATTGCAATCTTAATCCCCTTCTGTCGCTTCTTCTCCAGGAACCTTTTACTCTTAGTACGCCTAAGTGGCGCATTGATAATTCTCGCAACAGTGGGATGCACACTATCTCGCTCACTACCTTTATGGATTAGGAACTACTATCCTGACAAGATTTTGAAGTCATATATGCGGATGAAAAATTCGATTTCGCATGTAAATATTATCACGATCCCAGACCTCTGTCAAGTTTTCGCATCAGAGATCAGATCCGCTCTTCATTTTCCCAGTCAAGATCAGCCGACAACTGTACCTTTTGCCCATCCTGCGAGTATTCCGCAACGAGATCAACTCCTAGTCATCAAAGAAGAAGAAGTGAAATCCTCTATCCCTTTCGGAGTGGTGGTCGACGTACCCAAAGTTTTCCATTTGCGCCACTAACCAATATAATAGTCGTTTGTCTCGCAAGTACCTATAGCGCTCTACATGTGCGAATGCAAGAGAACCGAAAGAGATTTGCAGTATACGGCGATGCCAGCTTCGCGCTTTCGGACATAGTTTGACGGCAGGCGTAACTCAAGTTGAATAGGTTGCGAGCTAGTAGCGCCCAACCGGGCCATAGATGTTCCGGCAATGCATCCTGCTGGCTCAGAGCGCGCGGTGGAGGCCGGGGAGGGAGATGGTAGCGATGAACCTCTTCTTTGTGTAAATGATAAGGTTCCCAGTTTTCATCATATAAAGGACGGGATTGGGGTTCAGCTCCCAGTAAACCCATGATACGATACTCCGGGACCGGATCAAGTACTTCGTATAGGTCGCAATTCGGCAAACTCCGCCGCGCCCTTTCTCGGTTGCGTACACTGCTGTTGAAGCCCCCAAGCGAGTATCCGTAGATAATGTTCCTAATCTCTCCGGAAAGATGGAGAATTGGAGATTCAGTACTGTTGCGGATTATTCTGACACAGTTAGCACCTGACCCTAGTCAACACAAATACTCACTACTGACATTGCTACTGTCTTGGATGCGCCGCTCGATGCAGCTACTGACGCTTCAGGAACTGAATCTGAAGACTCCATTGTGGTCGTGGTTGCCCAGGTGTTGGGTGTTGTGTATATTTGTTGGGTATAAAGAGCAACGATGTAAGCAATCGATCGAAAGTGTGGGGTCGAGCACCTTGAAGAAGTAGAATTAAACACCGCGCCAGTACATAGCCTTGCGCGCTACTTTAGCGCAGAAATCTCCGTACGTAACCAGACTACATACGTGAAGAAACGCACGCCGAGGTTCATGTTTGTCTTTCAACTATAACATACCCTCCGTATAATCCCCGGAGCGCGCTGTACGAGCCTTGCTCTACGTCGCGGCCGCCGGCGAGCATGATGCCGGTTAGCATTTTGCCGAAGAGGCGGGGGTAGGCTCCTTTCCATTGTTGTTGCATTGCTGTGTTGACCTGTAATGTTGTATTAGTAGGGTGCATGAGCTAAAGAGAGAGACTTACGGCTCCAGGGTGCACGGAGAGTGTGTATCTGTTTCGTTGTTAGGCTTGATCACTCGATCTAGCAACCCGTACTTTACCCCTACGATAATGGCGAGCTTGGTCCTCCCGTACACCTCGGGGTTGCCGATCTCGGGGTTGTTTATCTCGTCGGGCGATCCAAAGTGGACGACTGAGGGTGCAGCGCGATGCTGCTCCGAGGATTCGAAGACGAAGCGCGGAGCTGGTGTGTCTGGCATCTTACTCGTCTTACGCAACAACGGGTACAGTAAGTTGACCACGTAGACCTGGCCTAACCAATTGATCTGGAAATGGCGGTCGATGTCGTCATTAGTCTTGCCAAATTGGTTGGCATTGATGCCGGCTGAGAGAATGAGTAGGTCGAGTCGGTCCTCACGTTCGCGGATTTTGGTGAAGACGTCCTTGCCTTCAGAGAGGGTGCCCATGTCGCAGCCTTCCCATTCGATCTTCGCATCTTGACCACACTTTTCCCTGATCTTCTTGATGGCTTCTTCACCATGATCACGCAGGCGCCTACCTTCACGAAGGCTTTCGCGATCTCGAAGCTGAGTAGCGTCAGAATTGCCAAAGGGAATGATCTTGGAAAATGCCTAACCGATGCCCATGGCACCTCCGGTGGTGAGGGCTACGCGGCCATTGAGATCGTGGATCTCCTTCTTGGGGCCAATGACCTTGTGAAGTGCGGACTACATATTGAGGTGGTAATGGAGGCTTAGAAGAAAGAAAATGGGGTATTAAGCCCTAGAGAAAGAATTTTGGAATTTATGATTGGTGCTGAGCGCAGACGTTAGGTGTATGTATTCGATGTTCTAACAACGCACGCGTACGTATGATGTCATTGTCACTTCATAAATAAGTCGCAACGTTGCCTGTATGTAACTTCGCCATCATGGATAAAGTATGCATATGCAGAGCTGCAAAAGCGTCCCTTGTCCGCGAAGCTGTCGGTGTTCGCTGACAGTCCTGTGAAGGTCCATTCTTAATCGCAAAACTTGGACCCGTGAATGGCCGGTACGGTTCCCATTGCTTGGCATATCTCATCAAGAACCTCATTTCAATCCAGTTCTGTTGGGAGATCATCCGTTACAGAAGCATCGCAGAGCAGTTTCTCGGGAGTTTTCAAAGACTCCAGGGTTGGTACGCAGGACGTCCGATCGAGGCTAATAGCAGGAGGCTTCAACGGGCTTTGCTCTGCAGGGTTAGAAGGTCTTCGAATGCTGTCACAGAACGAAAGGTAGCGTTGTAGCGTGCGGATAACCCCGAGGTCATCAAATACTGTCCCGTGGTAATGGATCCCAGTCTGCAGCCCGGCGCATTAGGTTGTCAAAGAACGCTGCATCAATGCCCTGAAACGCCCAATCGTTGGCTCCTGCAGCCAATCTTGGGTATTGGTCGTAAGATGTGTCGTTTGAATGACCTATATCGGGAAAGACAGGCGGTAGTGGCATCAGGTTGACATCGGGAACTAGCTGGGATGTTCGTTCGAGCCCAGGAGTGGGTCTCCACTGTCAGTTGTCGCTGTGGGGTACGGCGTTCCACTTGTTCGAGTGTGTGAGGGCTGTATGTCCTGCTGCCGTGACCTTGTGACGCCCATGCGGCCGATATTGATGATTCCGAAGTAGGGTATAGAGAGTTGAAGTTCCCCGCAATTTCTCTGGATATTCGATACCGTATCGCGAGCAGATTCTTCCTTTCCCCGAGCGGCGTCACTTTCGATCTTCAAGAGGCGTCGTAATTGTTCAGCACTCTGCTGGGTGAGGCCATCGTTCATGCAATCTTGGACAGAATCATAGCTCTGCAAAAGCTGTTCTACCAGCGCGCGATCACCTAGTCGTTGGTGTGCCCGCCAGTCCTCCTCCTCAAGCTTGTGACCATCAATGTGGGCGAGAAGTATCGTTATGCCTGCCATTAATGCACAGAAGTCCGCTGTGCGGCAATAGACTGAGACTATATTTCGTTTGAAGGTGCGGAATGCGACGACTGGGATCAAGATCTCGCGACTCGCATTGACGCATGTAACCTTTGAACAGGTAAGATCTCTGCCTTCTGTTTGTGAGTTAAGGAGATATGGTAAGTGCAACAGGTGAACAAGGCTGTAGTGATGAAGGTGGTCAGCCACTCGCATGGTCTCCCAGAGTGCCTCTCGCGTGTTCGGCTGAAGGTTGGGAAAGTCGGGTGGCGTCCAAAACTGGTCCGGTAACTCTCTGGCAGCAGTCAAAAGCTCTTAGTCAATACTACGTGTCTCTGAGAAATCACAGGCAGCCGAGCGTCGGTTGCGGTCAAGGACCCGCCGAGCAATAAGAGTATGCGCTCTTCTGAGTCTACAAGCCGGTGTCTCGCCCGGTACTTTTTGCTCCATATTGGTCTCTTGACCGCCGTGTGGAAGACCCAGCATCAGACTCAGGTAGCTGTCCGTGTACACAATGCGAAACCAAAGATACATGGGCACTAACTTTGAAGCGGGGTCAAGGACTTGAAATTTAGGCGGATTTGGCTGATCAATCTTCATCAGCTGTGCAAAGACCATTGCCTTCCTGAAAGCGAGCCATGCCCGCCTTAAATTACTGTCATTGAACTCGAACACACCTTCCAAGATAAGACACTCGAGTCCACCAAGGCAGTTTTTAGACGTGATAAGTTTTTCATGCATCGATGTCGCACGCATCGCAGTGGTCATCAGGCGGTGCTGGAGAGTCGACAGCTGTTCTGTGAGACCGTGCATCTGTCGCGTCTAGAAGTACTGTAGGAATAGCGCAAACGATCATTCGCTCCACTATTAAAATTGGCGGAGTAGTGGGGTCTAGTATCTTGGTGATGCTGTTGACGAAGTCGAATACCTCCTGCTCTTGCATGAGCTGAGGAGGGGGCATATGGCAAACGACTCGACAAGGGAGCGAGATCCAAACAAGGTGGATTGAACGAGTGTATTGTAAGGTCTGAGGAGCTCGATAGAGCTCTGAGCTGACTATATACTGTACGAGATAGGAGCTATGCCTAATGAGTGAATAGTGCAGTACATGGGTATGATATCGCGTGAGACACGTGCGACACCTGCTTCGGACGGTCGCCACCATCCGTGAAGATGTTCCAACACCATCCTAAGGAGGTCCAACGTAGTGATCCTAGCCGTCCCAATAGTAAAAATTATCATCAAAATTCAAGTCGTCTTCCATGTACTTAAGTCTAAGTGGCTTTGTGCTATACATTAGACTTATAACTTCGTTATGGACCTGTTTGTTGACCACAAGAAGCCCTATACTGCTCCCGTCTAGTCCATGCTGAGGAATTAGCCCTAAAAATAGAGGAAATGCGTACCTGTAAATTTTATTTTGGATTTCCCCTAGAAATTTGTGCAGCTTAGGCTGTCTTTTAGGCAGTGCTATATTGTAGTCGCTACAGTACCATTGATTGTTAGTCTCGCGTATCTGTCTAGACAAATGGCCATCCGCATTAATGTCTACATGTAAGCATCGCTGCACATCAGGCCTGGAGGGGATGTTCTCGAACGCCACGCTGTGACCATGTCGTGCGCTCCCATGAAAGCAACGGCATCATGCTGAAGTAAAGCTCACATTCCGCAAAATAAGACTTCTTCTTAGCGCTCAATATAGGTGTGTATGATTGCTCTTCGATGGTCTGAGCGTTTGTTAGACTTTCAAGAAGTAGAGGACTAGGTGCTGGCTATGCTTCTCTGTTAAGTCGTCCTCGCGCCTTCATGCTGTAGAGTAAAGAAGAGCTAAATAGGAGGCAGATAGAGTGTAGAAGCAGATGGTAGATATTCTTAGAGAAGCAATTTCGAGCGAATATAAAGACCTTCATATGTACGATGCGTTCAAGCAATCGACAGTGCTCCACGCATTACAGCGTGGCAGTGATGCTGTCGTTAAGTCAAGATATGGTGGTAACGTACTTCACAGGCGAGTTGCTTACACACCTGAGTCGCTTACTTTTGCTAAGACCCTACTAAACCACTCTTCCTACACTAATGCATTCCCCACAACACTACTTAGACGCGCTAAAAGAATGTTAGATACAGCTTACACTTTAAGCTTTTAAATAAGACATAAAACTTTTAAAAAAATATGCTGTAGCTATATATAAAGTTTTATAAAAAATAATAAATAACTATAGCGCTAGATAACCTTTATAAGCTAATTCTACAGCTAAATTATAAAGGCTAGGTAATAAAAAGGAGCAGGTGATTATTAAGACTATACTTAAGCTATATGCGCAAGGAATTTCCTCTTAGATAGCATTTATAGCTAATATAGCTAGTTCTTTGTGCGCTAAGCGTAATCTAGGCTATATTTATATAAACTAGCCTATTATGTTTATAAAGTGTTATTTAGAGCTTAAAGTAAAGTTTTAAGCGTAAGTATAGTTAAGAGATATTTAGCTAATTATAAACCTTATTTTGCTAAAGTTGTACGTGTTATTATCCTAGATGCTATACTTAGCTTTAATATTCTCTATAAGGCTAAACCTGCCCTAAATTACTCTAGGACTCTTATAAAAGGCTCTCTTATAGTTGTACTTATGCTTAAATGTTACTTTAAGCTCTAAATAATGCTTTATAAACATACTAGGCTAGTTTATGTAAATATAGCCTAGATTACGCTTAGCGCGCAAAGAATTAGCTATATTAGCTATAAATGCTATTTAAGGGGAAATTCCTTGCGCATATAGCTTAAGTATAGTCTTAATAATTACCTGCTCCTTTTTATTACCTAGCCTTTATAATTTAGCTGTAGAATTAGCTTGTAAAGGTTATCTAGTGCTATAGTTATTTATTATTTTTTGTAAAACCTTGCACATAGCTATAGCACATTTCTTTAAGAGTTTTATGTCTTGTTTAAAAGCTTAAAGCATAAGCTGTATCTAACATTCTTTTAGCATGTCTAAGTAGTGTTATGGGGAATGCATTAGTGTAGGAAGGGTAGTTTAGTAGGGTCTTAGCAAAAGTAAGCGACTTAGGTGTGTGAGCAACTCGCCCGTGAAGTACGTTACTCCTCTATCAGCAATTTCAATTTGAAAGTCAGCGAGATCCGTTCACGCCTCCGGACCTAATCCGTAAACCTTATCGCGTACGTCTGAGCGACACTAATGCCATGATTCGGTCAGCTTGTGGCAGTGTGCATCGCGGCCTGACAGCATGTAATGCTATCTGCTGATGCCAACAACTCGTTCATGCTCCGAAGCCAGTGCCTGGCCAATCTCTCCTCTGGAGACAGCGCCGCGTATCTCCTGGCGAAGAACCCTGTTTGTAGAAGAGACGTAGATGAGGTGGCCGGTCATGCATTGTAAACTCCATTCCGGAAATAGCTTTCATCTCATCCGAACCGAGCTGAATAGTTAGACACAGCCGTTCGGTCCAGAAGCCATGATAGGAACGTGACCACAGCTTCTTGCATGAGCTGGGGAGGGGGCATATGGTAAGCGGGTCAACAAGGTACCAAGATCTAAACAAAGTGGATTGTACAAGTGTATTATAAAGTCAAAGGAGCTCGATAGAGCTCTAGGCTGACTATATACTGTACGAGAAAGGAGCTAGGCCTAATAAGTGAATAGTGCAGTACATGGGTGTGATATCGCGTAAGACACGTGCGACACACCTCCCTAGCTTTAACAAAGTAAATACTAAAGTAAAGCTGTATAAAAATAACTAATAGACTGTAGGTGTATAGTAGTGCACTTAAAAGTGCAAAACAGCAAAACAGAAGTTAGTAGGCTTAGGCTTTAAAGCTAATATTAGTAGAGTAAGCTTTTAGAGTGTTACTTAGGCAAATAAAGCCTAGTTATTTAATAAACACTTAATGCTTTTATTAAAGTAGGAACTTAGTAAGGCTGTTAGCTAGCATGTCTATAGTAGAGATCTAGTTTATGCAAATCCTTCTTTCTTATACCTCTTAGCAGAGCTAGTAGTTATAAATGTTAACATGCTTAAGCTTAGTATTAAGCTTAAAGTCTTTTACTATGGCTTATATAGTTTATTAATTATTACATAGTAAAGTAAGCTTTTTTTTTAGTGTTAAAGTTTATATTAGTAATAATTAAAGCAATTAAACTTTAAAATAACTAGCTTTATTAATACGTTATTTATAGCAAGTTAACAGCTTTAGCAGCCTGTATTAGAACTATTACAGCGTAACTGCTTGCAAGAAGGATGTATGTAGCAGTAAAGTGAGAAGTTATAGTTACGCTGCGTAAGAGCCACTTAATTTACCCTTTACATATATACTAACAATCTAAGAAGTTACAGGTTGGGATTCTGCGACCCGTAGCGTACTACGCCCTGTTGGCAGCCGTGTAAATGGATTGCGTTCTCGAGTGATTGGCTGACGTCTGGGTTTGGGCACCGTGAAAGTTGAGAATTTGCCCCTCGTATGAGCATTTATGGGATCGGCGTTGATGGAAGTGGGTTAGACGGGTGGCGATGGCGGGCTGGCAGAAGACGTTGAGGAGCCCGAAGTGGCTGAAGGACGGGAAGAGGATCATCTATTATGAGGCCGATAAGTATGATGCGGCAGATGGGGAGTGTGAGTTCTATCAAGCCGAGCTGCCTGTGCTGATCGAATACTGATTAGTGTTTGATTGCAATGTATCACCGTTTGGAGCATTCTTTCGACCTAGATTATATCGGTTGATGTTAAAATGGGCAAGGATAGGGTGGTGTACATAGAGGTATATTGTTCCTTCATTAATATTCTCCATTCACATCCAAGATCAAGGAGTGCTCGAATAAGTTAGCTGATGTGGGGTGTCGAAGGGTCCCCACCTCAAATTATTCCCGCAGTGCATTTCCGACACGGGAGACATTGGTTTTCTCGTGAAAGGCGACCCACACTACGAAAGTGTAAACTACACCTTGTCCTCTTCTAAGAATCCTGCCAAAGCCACGCGGTTCAAACGTCACTACCTGCGCTCACTGTCCTGGTCTCCCGACAGCAAGAACGTTGTCTACGGAGTGTCCGGCTTCTATGAGCGCCATGTCGAAGACCCTATTGTGGGCTGGGATGACGAACGGGAGTGCCCCTTCATAACCGTGATGCCTTCGCTTTCTATGCAAGGCAAAATCGCCAACACTGAATTCTCTACGGGGAACAGCACCGTCGCTGTTATGAAATCAGAGGGCACAGAAAAGAAAATAGTCTTTGACTCGATGAAGAGTGGCATGTACGTCGATCGTACGTGAGTGAGGCAAAAGCTTGAGAGCACCATGCAGCTGAATTGGTCGCTAGACGGACAATGGATCGCTTTTAGCTTAAGATTGCAACTCAATGATGCACGCTCCTTGTGACATAGCGAACAAATCGTTTTCCGCGAATGCTAGGGTCTGAAAATCATCAATCTGGAAACAGAAGCCAAGCGCGCGCTGACTACGACCGAACACACGATAACGGGCGGCACGACGGACAACATGCCTGACTAGTCGCTCAACGGGTCACGCATCGTTTTCGCGCGGCGTACAATTGAGACCTTGACGAGTGCACAATCCGTCCTGACGGGTCTGACATGCAAATTCTGACCTCTGAAACTGGGGCGGTAGACGGACATGTGTTCTGGACGTACGATGACAAGATTGCGTTTTCAACTGGGTGGTTTGGATATTGGGATGAGGTGGCTATTTATGATGAATCGTTCTAGCCGTATGTGGTTATGATGGTGATGGATGCGGACGGATTTGATAATTAGGTATCGCACAGTTGGAGCTGACGGATGATAGAGGGCATGTGAGGAGGTGCGAGTCATCAATCAGGTGGCGAGAACCAAACTAATCGATTGAGCAAAGGTGTAAGGTCTGGTCTCAGGAGCTTAAGGGAGCTCCAAGCGAACACTATAGTGAAGGGCCGAAAGGACGCTAATTTCAATAAGGAAAGACGCTAGTACTAAAAGAACGACCACCGCTGCGCTCGCTCATATTGAGGTGAAACACTACGTCATATGACGTAGTTTCACCTGCTCCAATTGTCATGTGCTCCATTGCACCGGATAAATTGGCTTGGTATGGCCTCTTCGCTGTGTTCGGTTTCCGCCTAGCATTCGGCGGATGTATCCAAAAGATATTAAACAGTACCAATCAGTGGGAAGTTCTTCGGTGACGAGGGCTCTTCATGGCGAGGGAACGACTGGGTAAAGATCGGCGTCCAGAAGCTCCAGATTCCAGAATGAGAGTCAAAGGGAGGTCATCGATACTAAGCTGAACAACTATGCGTTGAAGACGATGATGGTACAAGAATCAGAACCAGACAAGGAAGTCTAGGATATTCCCAAAAAAGTCTGAGCAGTCATAAGAATACGCTATGAGTAAATACACCTTCATTCACCAACATCGTCTTGCATGGTCCTGATATAAGAGGATCCCCAGAGTGCATTATTTTGCAGAGCTAGGAGCTTCTGCATATCCGGTTACTGCCGAGTCCTCCATGGGCGGGACGTAGTGATGCATAGCGCCCACGCTGCTTTTCGACGAGCGATGTGACCACGCAAACTCTGTTACTTTGCCATCTGGGTCCAGGATCTTGACAAGGTCTTCGTGCCTATAAAACGAAGCAAGGTCCAGTGGTGTCCAGCCATACTCATCTTTAGGACTTGGATCCTTGGCTCGCTGCAGCGCAAGCAGCAAAGCATCCATATCGCCGGAAAAGGCAGCGGAATGGAGCGGAGACCAGCCATGCGGATCTGCTTTCCCAACGTTGGCCCCAGCATCGATCAAGAGGTGTACCACGTCAGTGTTACCGGCTTCAATGGCGCACTGTAGTAAGCTGATTCCGCGATGTGTATAATTTACGTCCAGCCCGTTGTCAAGGACCTGTTTGACGCTCGCGTACTGGCCCTCCCAGATGGCGTGCCAGACTGGATGTGGCGCGTCGCTGTTCAAGTCAACTGAATCGAATTTGGCGCCGAAGTCTTGGAGCGCCTGCATCACCGAGGGATTGCCCCACCTGATGGCGAGCTCAACGAGTGTCCTGCCATTGGCGTCAACTATGTCGTGAGTGCAGCCGTTTTCTAGAAGGAAGCGAACTGAGTCAGCCTTTCCAGCGCTGGCGGCCATCATCAGGGGAGTGTAGCCGGCGATGTTCTCACACGTGCGGACGTCTGCCTTCTTCTCGACAAGATGCTTCAAGATAGAAATGCTTCCAGATTCTGCCGCCAGATGCGCTGGTGTATTCCCTTGCTTACCGGAGACTGTGATGTTGCAACTCAGGTCATAAGCAGCTTTCCAGAGCAGCGCGGCAGAATCTCCTTTTCGAGCTATCTTATGAGCAATGCGGTCTGAGTCGTTGTCCATCGCGTCGATGTCAGCGCCTTTGTCATACAGATACCTGAGGACATCAATGCCCTGAGAATTAACGATGCAGAGCAGCGGCGTCAACCTCTCACTCGACAAGGCGTTTACGTTTGCTCCTTTCTCTACCAGAATCTTGGTAGCCACTAGATCGCACTCTTGAGCAGCGATATGGAGTGCGGTAAATCCTTGTTTGTCGACTGCGTGTATATTCGCGTTGTTCTCTAGAAGCCATCTCATAGTCGCATATTGCTTTCCCTTGACAGCATGGAAAATGACCGTTTGACCTTTGCCGTCGCGAGCTTCCAAACTACTTCCTTTCTCATGGAGCTGCTTAATCATGCTGATGTCTCCCGTCCGAGCGCTAAAATGCAGGGTCTGAATGCTAACGGTATCCTGCCGGCTGATGTGCTTGCCACCTTTAAGGAGAAGATTTATTGTGTCCTCGTCGTTGCTATCGAGGGCATAGTCCAGCGGAGTACGACCTTCAGCGTCCTTGTCGTTCAAACTGATTCCCTTGCTAGCGAGTTTCTCGACTACGGAGGGCTGCCCATATTTCGCTGCCCAATGGACCAACGTCGCATTTTTCTCATCTCTATACTCCTCAAAGTGCTCCGACTCGATTAAGTACTTTGCAGCATCTCCATGTCCATTTTTGATCGCCATCATGATAGCTTCACCCGAAGATAAAGATGCAGACGTCTTCGTTTTATCGCGATTCGAGTCTTGAAGGAGCTTGTGGATAACGTCTGTTTGGCCGGAACTTGCAGCCCACTTCAACATTGTTGCAAAGTTATCTTTCGGATCTGGCTCCTGATTTTCAAGATCGATGACGGGCTTGTAATTCTTCTTGCTGCGCTTGGGCAATACTTTGCTCAGTTTCTCCCAGAGAAGGATCGCCACCGTAAATGGAGCTAAGGCAGCGATCACGGTCAGATTTGTCAACCGCCTTCTCGAACGCAATAGTGTATAACCTCCCATAGCAATGCACATAACTACCAATGAAGTGTACAGATAGTATAGCCATGAAGGGTCATCGCTGAAGAGGTCCACGTTCATGCCGAAAATGCCCTGTCTGCTGATTAGTAACAACTCAGGCTCCCGTTAAAGAGGGTAAGTTACCGCTGCGAAAATGAGAGGCAAAAATATGAACTATACAGCCTGTTAGCCGGTCGCAGTGGTCTTGCATCAAGCGTGCATACGGTGATCCATGATAGTCTTCGAATACTGTCATTCTGCTCGCGCGAACGATACCCTTCGTCGATGCTAATCAGATTGGTCACTCGCTGGATGAGGCTATCGGTCTCTTTGATTAGCTCTGTGCAAATACGAAAGTCAATGTTCTTGAACTGCCGCAGATACCCGCTGCATACAGCCATGATCTCCCAGTAATCGTCGCGTCCTTCGGTCCACCTCGGATCGGCATGGATATTCTCGAGGGACTCTAGGCTCACTAGCTGATTCTGAAGTACTCGACGAAATTCTTCCCAGCGCTGGGCCGCGCTAACAAGGTTTCTGACGATGTTGCGATCTGTTTCTAAGCGTTCTTGAAGGACTTCGAATCTCTTCAACGTAGTTAGACTTTACTTGGTTAAGTCAGATTTCTCACTTACAAATGAGTCTAGGAAGCGCGATGATGCCGTAAGCAGTGCACCCCAATTAGTTAAAATGACTTCAAGCTGAGAAAGCAGGTAGTCTAGTGGAGCGGATCTCAACCTGGTCGAATTCTCGTAGTTTTGATACATCAAGGCATCATAGGCGAAATCCGTAGTTTCAACGCGCCGGGAGCGGAAGCGGAAAATCTGCAGATTCCAATCTGCCATGAGGAACTTTTCCTCCCTGGGGCTTGGTGAGCGCGTAGACCTGATAATACAACAAACATTCAACATACTCGTATCCCGAGGAAATGATGATCGCGTCGGACGTAGCGTCGACCTTTGGCTGCTTTGTCGACGACGGCACGATATCTTGATGCAAATAAAATTGGAGGTTGCAGTACAGGGCCCAATGGCCGCAGATCTCGCCCTTCGCGCATCTTTGGCACTTGCACGAGCCCGTATCAGGCTTGTTCGTCTTTGCGAAGTCGTTGAAGAGACCGTACGGGAACAACGAGTAGCGCGGGAAGTCGAAGTGCTCAAACAACGTCATCAACAAGGTGGTAGGGCATTTCGGCCCGTACATGAACAGCCGGCATCCTTGATCGTTCTCCGCCTCGGGAAACATCCTAGTGTAGCGACTGAGCGTCTCCGCAGTGGCAAAAGACTTGGGGTCATCGCCATCCTGAATAGAGACTGTCGCGAGGACATCTGCCTTGGATGTGTGCTGCGGTAGCCGCCCGTCGGGCGTTCTTGATGGGTGCGCATTTGGTGCGCATTGTGTAGGGACTGAGGGGTAGTGCGGCGTCTGCTGCTGCGGTACTGCTTGCGGAGGTGCGCCATAAGTATACGATGCGCCTGGTTGGAAAGTCTGCGGCTGCGGCAGGGATGAATCCCGCGATGCGCCACCCAGAGGACCTGCAGAAGCTGATGGGTACGAATATGCGTTCTGGGGTGGTAGCGCATAAGGCGATGAGTATCTATTCTGAGGCACTGCCGCCTGTGGCAACGATTGTGAGTATGGGTTCGCTAGCAGCGGCGGCGGATACGGCTGCTGCGGCACTCCCGTGCTCTGAGGTAGCGCAGTACCTGCGCCTGGCTGAGAGTACTGATTGGAAGAGTTAAGTGGGTATGATGCTGACGTGCTTTGGCTTGGTAGAAGCGAAAAGGCATAGTTGTCGTTGGAAATGAGTGGAGCTGGCGCTGATGAGCTTTGGCCTGAAGGCCGCAACGGTGGTAATGAGGCCATGGCAGAGTTATCGCAGCACCTTGTGAAAGACAGCAACACCCAGGCCCATGGCCGCGAAGTCGCTCGGAGGGCTGTTCATTTATGTCCTTCGAACGAGTTCACCTGGGGGCTTTAGCTCCTTTGGTAAGGAGCCTTGCATGATACGAGGCAGATGGTTCAGCCGCAGTTTACCCAATGCATTGGTGGCTTGCTTTTGGCAAGCGCATAAGTCTATAAATAGTTATAGTGGAACAAAAAGATCTAGGGCGTTATAGGACAGCCGTTTTTGAAATCAGCTTCCAGTGGCAGGGGAAGAGTCCAGCCGCGGTGCGCCACCGAGGCTTTGTCTAATTAGGACTAGTGCGCGGAATTACTTTGCTCCGCCGCAGCGCGCGCGTTCGAAGAGCAAGGATCTCAAGCAGCTTCAACTAAACCAACTCTACTATTACTTTCATCACCACCGCCACCACCACCACCTAGACAATAGTACATATAGCCTAATGCCTTTGCTTCTTATTATCTTTAGCTTTACACTTCAATTCTATAGCTTTTTCCCTACCTTTGTATAGTAATTGGCTAACTTTTTAGCCGCAAGCAATAGCACGCTTACTCCTCCCCCGCGCTCACTCTCCTAGAAGCTCCCCTGCCCAGGATGCTCCCTAGAAGCGTTAGAAGGTCGCTAGTAGTAGGGTGCTGTCTGTCTCTACAAGCCTATTATATATAAATTCTTACTGCTTCTACTATTCTATCTGCCTAAGCTTAGAAAATATAAAGTTTAAGTTAGTTACTTAAAAAGTAGAAAGCTTTTACACACTTCTACTTTTACTATAGTAAATAAAAAGTGTTATAAAATAGTAGAAGCTTATTTTTTTAAGCTCTCTAAGCTTAGTTCTCTAAAACTCTAAAACTATAAAAAAAAATAGTAGCTATACTATTATTAGATATGCGCACCTACTGTTAAGACAGGAGGAACGCTTGTCTAAAGCTGCTACATAGTACGAGCAATAAGCTCGAACAGTATGTTGCTGCAAATTGCTGCATGTTGCAGCATTTTGCTGCATTTTACAGCATGTTACAGCATTTTGCAGTAACTTATCTACTATTTTTAAATTTTTTTCTGTGCTTAATCTATTAGTTTTCTCTAGAAGAAGTATTTTATTAAATATTATAGTACTATTTAGCTTAAGGTATCTTATAGCTTTCTAAATGTTAGCATTATCTACTAGAAAGTTCTTCTAGTAGGTTCTACACTGCTACTATGTTATGTTATAAAATTCTTTTACTATAGCCTTTACTTATTATTCTGTCTTTATACTTATTCTTTTTACTTACTATTCTGCTTTTGCTTTGTTCTTTTAGTGTGTATATACTCTTTATAGCTATGTAAGGTCTGCAGTCTACTATCTTTTTGCATATAGTAAAGGCCTAGCTTTTAGGATTAGCTTGTAGACTACCTTTATTACTGCTTCTATTAGCCTATCTGTCTGTTGCTATACACTGCTTTTTATTAGTTTAGCTTTAAGTGTCTTTTTAACTTTTATTTATATTACTTTCTATAGTGCATTTTTAAATAATAGTCTTGCTTTTACTTACTATTTTAAAGTGTTTATATTAAAAGTTATTTTAATTACTTTATAATCTAACTTATGTTCTGTCTTATAGACTTTACAGCATAGTGCTGTAGCTACTAGGTTGTCTAAAGTTAGTATTAAATTAATAGTGCTTTTACTTATTCCTTGCTACTATATTTTTAGGCCCCTAGAAAGTAAGCTGTAAAGTAAATAGTCTACTATAAGGTGTATAATAAAGTTTACTTTACCTTAGTAAGTGTTTAACATATTATCCTTTCTTTATAATTAGTTATGTTAGTTAAAATTACCTACTAGAACTACATCTACCTGCGTTCTAGTTTAGTTATGTGTAGTTTAAATTAGAGTTTAAATATAATTTGTTATCTTTTTTAGTGCTTACTTATCTTTTATTTTAATGTAGACTAACACTACTAGGACTGTTTAACTAAGTAGTTGTAGTGTTACTGCTGTAAGGTCTAGCAACTGTACTAGCAGCTATTTAGCCTTAATATCTTTCTATATCTAGAGCATACTCTAGAAGGGCCACCTTCTATCCCTACATGCAGTTAGCGTAAATTTAGCCTAGTAAGTGTGTCTAGCTAGTGTTGTAATAATTCTCTTTTCTTTATTTTTTTATGTATAAAGTTTTTAAATAGCTAATATAGTAAAGTCTTATAGTTACTTATTATTTATTATGCTACTTAGTACCTTATGTTTTTTTTTATATTAAGTTAGAATATTTTAAGCGTTTTAAGCATTCTAACTAAGGTATAGCACTTAATAGTTCCTAAAAAAAAATTTATAAAGGCCTTTATAAAGTACACATTTAGAGACTATTACTTAGCATTTACTGTAGTAGTGTTCTTTACTAGCGCACCTAGCACAAACCTGCTGCCTTGTGCATGTAAATGCCTTGTGCCCTAGCTGTTAGCATTAGTAGCACTATAATAGTCTATTTTGCAGTTTAAATAGTCTTATATATGCAGATTCTTTATTAATGTAGATGTGACGGTGCTGCTTGTCAAGCTCCGCTGCTAGTCACATGATCTTGCTAAGGGTTAAGCGAGCGCGCTAGCACCTTGGCGCTGCGCAAGCTTTTCTCTCGCGAAAACCCTTCGCCTCCTTCACTCCCCATCCTAGTTTAGCTGAAATAGAGCCGACCTACTCTGCCATGCTTCCCCAGCTCCATACGGTAGAGACAGTGCTTGTCATCACAGTAGAAGTACTATTCTTATAGTAGCTAGGCTATATTACTGCCTTTAGTAATATATACTACTATTAATTTATATGCTTTTTTTGTTGAATGGGCTCCGACAGCTAGCTGCTTATGGTATGAGCACTTAAGTAGCAAGAGTAAGAGTGGTGTACGGTGTGCACAGCGTACGAGGTAGGTAAGGTGAGGGCAACATGTTTCTAGTTCTATTGCTCTTGTCTTTCCTCCGTACGGAGGAAAAGGGGGATATCTAGATGTTCGCGCACGGAGGTTCGCGCACGAGCATCATGTGACATAGATACGTGATCCTGCTCGTGCGCGATCGTTTGTATCCAGGACGCGACGCTGCTGCTGC